GTAGTCCGCCGTTTTATTTATTAAATAAACAATTAATTATTTATTTTTAATTACGATTAAAATCAATTTTACGTTTTATATACCGAAATAACATGCAGGATATGGTGCGTCATTCGAATGGACCTGCTGGAGCTCTCTCGCTGCCGGGATTCTCTTTCCCTCGATCATCCCTATGTCAAGAGATATGATTCATCTCTTGAACTGGGTGATGTTTTCTACATATGCTCGGAACCGATAAAAAAGCCTGATGGCTCGGTTTGCTCTTCAGATGACGTCTGGATTGATGTTGATTCTGATGTCCACCGACGCCCCTGTTATGTCGCCCCTCAGAGATCCTTGGAACATCTCCTATTGGGTAATTATTTGGAAGAGGATGATCTATGGAACATAGGACATATGTAATATCGTATCTTATTAACTTTGCTAGACCCTCTGAAGGGCCTTCCTGGATGAATTCTGCTGAATCCCTTAAAAAAAAATTGACTGCTCGCCTGGCCAAAATTTACTTGGAAGATATTGTTCACTGCAGTAAGGTATTGTCCTTATTGTTTTATTTTCTCGAGTTTGCACAAGATGATATTCAGCGCATCAACAACCACCGATCTTTGAGGGTATCTAGAGCCTCTCGTTGCATTAGGAAGACATTTGGTGCCGCATACTGGGTTATTACCTCTTTTTATCTCATTAAATTTAGTGTATTGAGCTCTGTCTCAGCATACATAGCAGTCTTTTACAAACACTGTCCGGCCCCTTACTGTCCATTTACACAGAAGGTTTGTCTGAACTATGGCATCGACACAAGGTTAGTCTCAAATGGTTAAATGCAGAAAATAATTATATTAAACTACTTATATATGTTTACTTTAAGTATTTAAACAAATATATTTTTATCTTGACTAGCTGAATGGATTCGTTGGGCGCCTTAATTCACTAACCTGTGATCGCGGAACTATTTCTAGGTTTCCTTATAAGAAGTTCATTCACCGAGTAACAAATCATTCGGATGATGGAACCATTTTATCCCTCCAGGTACTATTTCCTATTACTACATTGCACTGCACATTAAAATTTAATCTACTTAAACAGTGTTTCTAAAAATTTTATACAGAGCGGAACTTCTCCACTACAACGGCATACATTGGGAAGTCACGCACGTACAATTGGTGCCCCAGCCCTTGGACTTGGATCACTATACTCACCGTTTTATTTGTTTGGTGGGCCTTCCTCGAGCAACTCGAACCTAGCAGGTGTTACTGGAGCTGGCTCTAGATCTAGACTCTCTGGTTCATCCGATTTTTTTTCATCGCTTTCCAATTTTCCTTGTGGGCCCCCACCAACTCTCGTTTTGGTATCATATCCTAATGCCACAGGAGTCA